TATTTTTTTCTAGTTTAACCTTTATATTACATTATGAGGTAGTTTTTATATAATTTAATAATTAAATTATACAATAAAAAATTACTCTCACTACTTACATAGCTTAACAATATCTTACCATGTTATGGATGGTGATGGTCATGGTGATTTTACGGGTTGGATTGGAACCTTCTTTTTCATATCTCCCACGGTATGGGCCGTAAGGTCGAATCTAAATTCTCCAAATCCCAGAGGTTAACAAGTCATGTTCCAACGCATCGAGCCCTTTCGCTCAAGTGGCAATAGCCACTCACGGTGCATTTCCTCTCTTTTTGGGCTGGGTTCGACCCGCCCCTTTTTTTAATCTATCCAAATGAAATTAATACTAATCCTTCTTTTTCCCTTTTCCTCTCTTTACTTCCCCTCCCTTTCCTTTACTTTTCTTTTGTAATTTTTATCCAAACATAATATAAGTTTCTATTAAGATAGTTATAATATTTCTTCTTTCTTTCAAATATTTCCCTGGTTCAAATAAAAAAATTATTTGAAAAATTATGAGTTTCATTTTTTTTTCTTAGAGTTAAGTTAAATTTACAAATTCAAAAATTTTAGGTGGAGTTTTTTTAATTTAGTTTTAATCTTTTCAAAATAAAAAGAAAAACTTGTAAGTTTTTGAAAAGATTAGTAGCAAGTTCCAAGAAAAATATTAGAGTCTCAATTGATTTTTGAAAATCAAAATTTTAATTTAAAATTTAAAAATTTATTTTATTAAATATTAATATTTAAATTTAAAAACCAATTATATATTCTAATATAATCAATTTCTAAATTTAAATATTAACATTTAATAAGATATATTTTAAAATTTTGAATGAATTTTAATTAAATAAAAACAAGTAATTTAAATTTAAGTTTTTAATTTTTTTTAAGAGTTCGAATAACTATACACTTTTTTTTTTTTTGAACATGAATAACTATACACTTATTCTAAAGAGTCTTAAAAATTAAAATATAAGAGAAATATCTTGATTTTTTAATATATAATAATGACAAAAAGATTAAAAGAAATGGAGCTTTTGGAACAAAAATATAGACGTGGTGGAATTAACTATAAAACAAAATAATGGGACAATAACGAATTATAAAATAAGTATGGGGCTATAAAACGGAAAGAGTGAGAAAATATTTGATAATTAGGCGGGAGATTAATCAGAAATCTGATTACGCAGCTTGCAAAATGAGCTCCATGCCGACCGTCATCATCTTCGAAAATTCTGATTAAAACCTAAAAAACTAAAATTCTCTCTTAAAAACAGCAGAGAAAGAGAGCAAGAAATTAATCGCGAATGTACCGGCGGCTTGATGCTGCCTAGCTGCTGATTCTAATCATTCTTCGATTCCATCTGTTTTCCCTTCGATTTTTCTGCTCGTACATGGCGGATCCGTACGAATTCGCACCGTCGTCTACAGCTGAACCCGAAGAAATCTGCACGTTCCTTAAACAGTTTGTCCAGATTTCTGCTTCGTCATCTTCGTGCACGCATTTGAGGAGTAGGTACGTTCAGTTGCTGTCCTCTCCGGTGCCGGATTCTTTACTGGAGGTGACTGATTCTGGTTCTGGAGAGGCGGTTCCGTCGAAGGATTGGTACCGGCTAGGCGGATCGGCGAGTCGAGCTGAGATGGAGCCCCGAATAAGAGACGGAAGCGCCGACCTCAATTTCTCTGATCCTGAATCGTATTTTGGGGCTGACGTCAAGAATAGCGCTGAGAATGCGTTCTCTTCTCTCGGTGACTTAAGTTGCGAAAGCGAGGTAATTCCGATTTCTTTATGGTTTCTGTAAACTTCTGTTTGGCTGCTGGGAAACGCTAAGGAAATGACTATCTCCGAATTATTAGATTAATTTTGCGAAAATTTTAGTGAGTGAATTTGCTGTTATAACCTAGAAGACTCCAGAGCCGTCGAATGCCCCGTCAAATTCAGAGCGGCCACGGCCTTCCTCGAAAAGAAGTAGAGCGGCGGAGGTCCACAACTTGTCAGAGAAGGTTTGAATTTCTGCTTTTCAATGGAATCTGTTCGATTTGTGTGGTTTATGTTTACACGCGTGGTTGATTCTTGGGCAGAGGAGGAGGAACAGGATTAATGAGAAAATGAAGGCCTTACAGAACCTAATTCCAAACTCTAACAAGGTACATAATCTCCAATTTTTGAAAATTTCTTCATTAGTTCTAAATTTCTTCTCTGATCAATGATTAATTTTGTCTAATTGATATGATAGATTGATAAGGCTTCAATGCTGGATGAGGCAATTGAGTATCTAAATCAGCTTCAGCTTCAAGTGCAGGTCATTGTTGAGGGGACTCTTGTTCCATTGTCTTTATATACAGCTTCAAATTCTACACGTTCTTTCTAGTTAGGAGAGATTGTCTTTTCTCTATGGCAATTGGTTAAGGCTAAATTACCATTTTGAGGCTGTATAACTTTTCATTGGCACTGCACACTCCACGCGTATAATCTCAAACTGTATCCATTAACCAAAATTTCCATGCATATAGCAGTCCTTATGGTATAGACAAAAACCCCTCATAAACCATACAAAAATAGCACATTCAATAAACTATAACTGATAAAATGTAAAATTCATGGGATTAGCTTGCTGGCTATGGTACAGACAGAAACAGAAATTCTCTTTTGTATCTAACAAAAAACCAACCTTTTCCTGAAACCTCTCCTGTCCATGAAACTCCATCCACTTTTTCATCCTCCATTTTTCAATACAAACCCATTAGATCTCCATCTTCCTTCTTCCCTTCAATAGGGAAGTTCCCTCTCTACTTTGTGAGCAGGAAGGTTTCCTTCTCTGCCCCCACCATGGCATTCCCCTTCTCTCTCCTTCTCGTTGTCTTTTTCTTCCCCTTTTCGGAATCCAAGCTCGCTCTCGACTACTATAAGAAATCATGCCCTGATTTTGAAAAGATAGTGCGAGAGACGGTAACCACCAAGCAGATGAGCAATCCCACCACCGCAGCTGCTGCTCTTCGCCTTTTCTTCCATGATTGCATGGTGGAGGGTTGTGATGCCTCTATCCTTGTTGCTTCCAATGCCTTCAACAAGGCTGAACGTGATGCAGACATTAACCTCTCCCTCGCTGGAGATGCTTTTGATGTCATTGTACGTGCCAAGACTGCTCTTGAGCTCTCCTGCCCTGGCATCGTCTCCTGTTCTGACATCCTTGCCCTTGCCACCCGTGACCTTGTCACCATGGTTGGTGGTCCCTTTTACCCAGTCCGCCTGGGCCGCAAAGACAGCCTTATGTCTCAGGTCTCCAGGGTTCAAGGCAACCTCCCTACAACTAACATGACCGTGGATGCCATGATCGGGTTCTTTGCGTCCAAAAGTTTCACAGTTCAAGAGATGGTGGCACTCATGGGTGCGCACACTATTGGATTCTCACATTGTTCAGAGTTTGCTGATAGGCTCTACAGCTACAGCAAAACTTTACCAACTGATCCTGCATTTCACCCTAAGTATGCTGAAGCATTAAAGAAATTGTGTGGCAATTATACAAAGAATCCTTCATTGTCAGCTTTTAATGATGCTATGACACCGGCCAAGTTTGATAATATGTATTACCAGAATCTGCAGAGAGGGATGGGGCTTTTGACATCAGATGGTGTTCTTTTCAATGACCCTAGAACAAAGTCATTTGTGCAGTTGTATGCTAAAAACCAGATTGCATTTTTCAATGATTTTGCTCATGCAATGGAAAAGCTTAGTGTGTATGGGATTAAGACTGGGAACAAAGGAGAAGTGAGGCACCGGTGTGATGCTTTTAACTCAATTCAGACTTAGGACTTATCACTTATCACTTATTCTGGTTTCGCTGATGGCCATGGAAATGATCAGAAGGGAGAATTTTTTTTTTTTTTTCTATAAATTATTCTGTGTGATGATCATAGGATAATTCATTTATTTGGTGCCATGATGGGGAAGACCTTGATTGCCATATGAATTTCAATTTGTGTCATGCAGAAGTATGTAATTTGACTGTATGTAACGTGATCTATATTAGATCAACGAGATTACCTCTTGAAAGGATGGACTGCCTTCATTTTTTCCCCATCCGGTAATTAAGAAGTGCATGATTTGTTGAGGACTTAGTCATCAAACTTTCCATGAAGGAGTTAGAATGAATTGTTATGAATCTGTTCATTAAATTTCTTCTGTAAATGATGTGGCAGCACTTAGGTAATTCTAATAGCAAAAGTTTTCTCAACCCTTCCTCATGCAATCTATAAATGGCTGGTCTGTTTCCCTCCTCTTCTTTCCCCTATCTGACATGACCTGGCTTTTTCAACTAGATATTTATGGTATCAATTTCAGGGAGAAAATCACTGTAATTTATGGATTCAATAATTATTTCAACTAGATATTTATGGTATCAATTTCAGGGAGAAAATCACTGTAATTTATGGATTCAATAATTATTTCATTCTCGCTTTCTTTGTCTCTAGCTTCCATATAGCTCTTGAAATTCTTGATGGATGATATATTTTTTAATATATTTAGTGTTGCTCCAGCTTACAATGCTGGACAAGACAGATTTCATGTGCTTGAGCTTGACCTTGTGTGACTGATTGGCAGAATTCTGGGACTTAATAGTAGCAGTTGTTAGTTTCCACTTTGTTTTTCAGTAAGTTAGTGATAGGCGAAAGGCTTCTCTACCTAGAGCCTTTCTTTTGTTTCTTTTTTGTATCGAAGTAGTAGTTGCCCCTTTTTTATTTCTTAGTCTAAAGTTCACAAGCTATAACTTCCTTTATAGCATTCAGTCATATATTGTGATCGCTGTTTTATCATGTATCTTTGGTATTTTATTTTTAGTTCCTACGGATACTTTTTAGTAAAATGGGAATTTTTTTTTTGTGAGAAGTAGATTTTGTAGTCCACCATGTTCCTGTTGTACGAAGCTTCAAAGTTAATTAAACATTTAAAGTCTCTACTGCAACAAATTTCAACAACTTAGCTTCAACTTTCGTTTTCTATGGAGTTTGGGTATTGCAGAACTGTTAATTAAGGCTGAATTTCTTATGAATATATTCTTATGTTGTCATTTTGAGATTTTTGATACAGTTGTTCTCCTGTAATTCAAATGCCTGGCACAATGCAGAATTAATGGAAATCACAAAAAGTCAGCCTGCATTTTCTCGTGTTTGGTCTTGCAAATGTTAGCTATGAGAAATGGACTGAGTTTATATTCCATGTGCTCGCCGGGAATACTTCAGCCAATACAACTGCCTCCAACAGGATTGGGCTATGAAGAGGGAAGTGGATTCTTCACTACCAATGCAGGGACAGCAGGCTCATTCTCTGCAAGCACAAGTGCCCGTAATGTTTCCAACCAATCCACCATCTCAATTCAGCCAATTGTTGCTCCTTCAATTGCAAATATTGCTAATTTGGAATCTTCATTTGACTTTGAAGCATCAGCCTACGCTGACTATGGATCCTTCAGCCGCCCTGTATCTTCCAAGGTAACAATAATTTAGCTCAAAAAATTTTTGTGAATTTTTCAGAAACTCACTTGGATTTATACGGCAACCTTTTCTGCAATGTGAAGGAAATCTTTAAGGAGGGAACATCACAACTTCAATTAGAAACGAATCACGTCGGGAACAACCCTTCATCCAGCGTGTCATAGCCAGGCAATCGTCCTCCCTTTGTTCAAATAAAAGTCACCACTGCAAATCATACTGAAAGTGAGATATTTTTTATACTTGTTCAGGTTATTTTCTGTTGAGTTGTGACAAGTTGACACATTATGACATTGAAGCTGTTGATATCCCTAATTTTATAAAGAATCCCTTTTCAATTCTGAGTGTGTTTATAACTTTATATATATGTTGAATGGATGATCTATTTTTGGTGGAAATTACATGTTAGCCTTTTTATTCTTTCAACTGTGGATTAGCCTTGTAAAATCCAAACCTTGGCGTGGAGTGATTCCCTATCAAAATTCTTGTAAATTAAATCCTTTTAGTCCTCTGCTATTTTCAGTTACAGCAAGTAATTTTTCTTCCAAGTTACCTTGAAGACTTTGAGTGGACAAAGAATGTTTGTCTACATGCTGAAGCAGTCGGTGCATTAGTGTTCCTTGTCCTTGAATTTCTATCTAACCCAATCTATATCTATCTTCCGTATTAAATAACCAATTTTTTTGTATAGCCAATTTTTTTTTTTTTTTTTTAATAAAGGTGGGGTTATGTGGAACAGGCAGCCAATGGAATTTCTGATCTAAGTTCAGACGCACACGCACTGTCGGTGGAGGACATGTTTAAGCTCACTGCTGGAGAGATAGAGCTTTGGCTTCTTAATTACCTCTACTTGCAGAAAACATTTTTGTGAGAACATGGCACTTGGAACTATTTGCAGATCAGGAAAATACTGCTTTTCTCTGCAGGAGCTGAAAAAATGGAAAATTACACTGTTTTTAGAAAGGCATGCCATTTTGGTCTACAATATTTAGACCTTAAAAGTATGAAAGTTTTCTGTATATAGAAAGAGTTTATAGAGATGAAAAAAAAAAAAAAAGTTTGAAGCTTGGCCTTCAAGATATTTTTATACTTTTCTTTTTAATTGATGTGATGAGATGATATTAAAGAGTGTAGGGTTGGTTCTCATGCATGTTCAAAAAAAAGAGTGTGGGGTTGGAAGGAGGAAAACATTTGTAGCTACTTTTTCAGAGTAAAAAAAGATGCCTATGCAAAAATGGCAAAAAGCTGAATTTTGTATCTCATTGAACTACCATACCTAACTATTTTGTGGCATGGAAATCACGAGACAGGATCTACTAGTCACTGCTGACATTTGAGTATAACTATTCAACCAATGTGTTTCATTTATATAGAATTGATGCCAACACAAGATGCGGTTCACTTTCATCTGGGGCTACTTCGCCACTATATTTTAGAATCTATGTTTTCTTCTCCTCGTGTAGATCTATAGTAATATTCAATATATAATAGATGAGTGTTTTAAGTTAGAATTTAATTGTTTAAATATGAGATGATAAAATTAGAAACTTTCATTTCTCGATTTAAATTTTAAGTTACGTACAAATGATATTGTTAATAACTTTTTAGAAATATGATATAAATTTTGTGACTTGATAATTAATGTGATAAATTATTAATAATAAGTGATTTTGCACTTTATAATTCATATTTACTAGATAGAAAGGCTTTGCTAAGGTATTCAAAACCCCTGCCTCTAGTTTTGTGCATCAAATTGCCTAAAACATTTCTTAATTGATAAAATCATTTGGTTTTCTTTTAATTTTACATAAATGGTGACATTTTATTTTAAATTCATTATTTTACAATTTAAATTATAAGATAAAGAATTGTTAGATGGGGCACAACTTTTATGGATGCCAAGGAACTCACCCCTAATTTGATGGTTCAAGATATACAGTTTGGACCATATAATATCTCTTTATTTTTGTACTATGTTTTTAAATTGTTCTAATTTGACCATGCTTGCATTTTTTATGTAATGTTTTTTTTTATTATTTATTGTAATAATATTCTTAAATTAATTTTAATATATAGACTAGTTTTTTAAAAATAATTTTAAGCATACACTCTTATATAATAAGTTAGTATATTTAAAAAATTAAATATTTTATAATATATAAATAATAATTATAAATTATTTTTAATAAAATAAAATTACTAAGCAAGATTTATGTATAAAAAAAAGTTAAAAAATAAAATAAAACATACAAGTATGGTAAAACTATGATTAGTGAAAAATCAAAGGGCGTTTAAGTGATAAAAATATTATAATTATAATTTTACGTAAATTTATAAATTTATAATAAATATATTAATATATAATTAATTTTTTATTTTAAAATTTATTTATAATATTATATATTTATTTAATATTATATCATATTACATAAAATTATAAAATTATAAAATTATATAAAATATTATAATTATAACATCAGTTGTGTGGCTGGTGGATGGGATGACGTGTGAGACGTATAGCAGGCGGTGGGTCCAACTTGATGCTGACCTTTAACCAGTAAGACAAATAAGACATGAATTAAAAAAAAAAAAAGCAAAATATTAATTGCATTCAGGCAGGGGAATGATTCTAAGTTTCTAACCTAAAAAACGAAGTGGAAGCATCTTAATTAAAGCACAATTAAAGCCATTGTCAAGTCTACCTCAAGAGTCAAAACATCCCCACCCCCTAGTAATTTTCTTCCTTTTATTTTAAAGTTGCATCAAGCGTAATTCTCTTATATTTTTTAATTATTTTACCAACATATTATACAAATTTAAATCTAAAATTTTTTATATTCATTCAAAAAGAAGATTATTTAACTTCTTCTAATATTTTAACTACAAAAAGGTATGCAAAAATAATCTATACTTTGCTATTTTGCACATATTAAATGGTAAAATATGAAATTTTTATACTAATTGTTGGAATAGGCCCAACATCCGCCCAATATCCAAACAGGGCTATGCATAACAGGCCTAGGCTGCCGCCCACTAGCCCAAGTTGAGGGAGCACCAGTGCAACCATACCCATGTGACCAGCGCCACGTGGAACAATGAGATGCTTACATGTACAGATGCATGTCAGCACCAAGGGGCTATAAATATCCCTCAACTACCTCCGATGAAGGTAATTAATCTCTACACTTCTCTCTATGCAATTACTCCTTGAGAGCATCTCTCTCTAGAATATCGAGTATTGCTGACTTGAGCGTTGGAGCATTTTCCCTGAGGAAACATCCTCAGGATTTTCAGGTGTAGAAGTAGCTGAGGACTTCAACAGTGTTGGACTACAAAGCTGCCCAAACATTTTGGCGCTGTCTATGGGAATCCTTGAACAAGAAGTTGTGTAGCTTGACTCGCTGAAAGACAAAATGGCTCGTACCTTTACCAGAAGTCGCCCTCCAAGAAATGAAATAGACGAACAGGAGGACGCATAACTGTCCGAGCCTGGCTTGAATGATTTTAGACCAATGCTCAAAAACCTTTTCGTAGGGGGAGCAAAACAGGATCAACTAAGTGAAACAGATGACAATGAGAGAACACCAACTGGGTATGCAACTCAGCCCAAACATTTCCAAATTTCAACAGGAACAAGGCAAAGATAGGCCAGGCAAGGCAATCTACAACAAGAACGACCTGAAAGGTCGACAGAGCCTGCTCGAACAATCGAGCTCGAAGAGAGAACCAGAGTTCTCGAAATGGCAATGGGTAAAATCCTTGCCCGTTTGATCCCGGATGACCCCCTGATTCCTTTGTTGAACAGGGATGCACAGCCAGCTGCGGTTGTTGCAACTTGAAACTCCCCTGCTCTGAGCAACATAATAGTGTCGACCAAGTCAAGGGGAAGTGGGAAGCTAAACAATGAGCCTAGCTCGTCCAAACATAGTGAAGAACTAATGAGAAAGAACGCAGACCTTGAAAGACAATTGCGGGATGTACAAAAATCCATTGACGAGCTGAAAAGTCCCAGGTCGCACCAACAGACCCTCGATTTGGATAGTGCCTCACTAAACCTATCCATCACAGTAGAACCGTATCAAGAGGGATTCAAAATTCCCCACCTGGAGACGTATGATGGCTCGGGCGACCCAGATGAGCATTTGCACACCTATCAAGCCATCATGAGAATCCAAAATGCCAATGATGCCATGATGTGCAAAGTATTTCCAGCGACACTGAAGTCAATAGCCAGAAGATGGTATCACAAACTCCCCAGACATTCTATAGACTCATACTCCTAGCTCGCCAAGCTATTTTCCAACAAATTCGTGAGCCAAAGGGAGATCAAACGCATCGCGACCAAGTTGATGCAAGTTCATCAAAAAGAAGGAGAATCTTTAAGGGACTACATGCAACGATTCAACAAAATCATTTTAGACATTGATAACGTTCTCGATACCATCTGCTTGTCTGCCCTGCTGCATGGTTTGAAGCGTGGTCGGTTCCTAGACGACTTGCTAGAAAACCCACCGAAGACGTGGAATGAAGTGAATGACAGGTCGGCTAGCTTCATATTGTTCGAAGACTTTCAGTCGTCCAAGCGACGAGCTGACGATAAGCAAAGCAAAGGCCAGGAACAACCATCGAGGAGATAAGAAAAGAAAAAGCAAAAGGTCAACGAGCAGTGGGGGAAGCCCGCTAACTTCCCAAAGTATGCCAATTACATTCCTTTGACCTTGCCAAGGTCTCAAATCCTGGCACAAATCCAGCACTGGGTTAGGAGACCCCCACCCCCACTGCATGATTCCCCAAGGGCAGACAAGAGCAAGCATTGTGACTACCATCGTGTATACGGTCACAATACAGAAGATTGTCAACACTTAAAGGACGAGCTGGAGTTCTTGGCTCGCAATGAGAGACTAGAAGGATATGTTTAGAAGCTCCATACCCAGCAACCCACTCAAGCTCATTTTGTATAGGAGTATGACCGACCTCAGGGGCAGAGGTACCAGCTCGGTGACGCACAGGATGCGTATTAGGATAACCAGTATCCTTCTGAGCAAGGCAGGGCATACAGGGGACGTCAATTCAATAGGCGAGGCCAAGGACAAAGAACTACCACCCAGAACCAAAAAGACAAGAAATGGGTGGGTTATGTTGGGATCCCCCCACTCTCAGGCACAATCAATATGATCTCAGGTGGTATACACTCCAGAGGCCAAAGTGCTCGAGGTCGTAAGGCATATGCCCGACACGTGATGACCGTTAATAAGAATAGGCCTCTGAAGCGGCCATTCGAGAAGGCAGAGTGGGAGAATACGCCTATTACATTTAGCTCGACAGATTACCAACGAGCAAAAGGAGAGCCCGACGTTATGATGCCCCATGCTGATCCTTTCGTGGCAATGGTTCATATAGGTAATTATAACGTCAACAAGGTGTTTATCGATATTGGTAGCTTGCCAGATATCCTATATTGGAGCTGTTTTCAAAAGTTGCAACTGAATTCGAGCTCACTACAGAAGTATGAAGGGCCCATATATGGGTTTGATAACCAGCCCGTTCCGGTTGAGGGAGTTATTACTCTTCCCATATATGGGGCTCAGAACCACGCTTTAGGATGGCTTCTATTAACTTTCTGGTTGTCAAGATGGAATCAGCTTTTAATGCTATATTAGGAAGAGTTACTTTGTGCGAGCTAAAGGCTGTTATCTCACAACCCCATCTCTGTATGAAATTCCCAACTCCTCAGGGGGTAGGAGTGCTGAAGGGGAATCAGAAGATGGCCAGAGCCTGTTATCAAGATACATTTAAAAAGGTTGAGTTCGCTGTAGCCTCGAGAGGCTCTGGAAGTAATAGGCCGACTCAGCCTGGTCAACAGACAATGAGCATATCAGATATTGAGCATCGACCTAAGGGTGTTGAACAGAAAGAAGAGCCAGTAGAGCCAGTAGAAACAATCCCTTTGAATCCTGATGTGCCGGAAAGAACAGTCAAAATCGGCACCAAACTCACAGAAGAAGAATGAGCAGAGCTTTTGGAGTTTTTGAGGGTTAACCAAGATGTGTTTGCATGGACTACGGATGAAATGCCTGGCATCCCAGCAGAGTTGATAGTCCACAAACTCAGCACGGACCCCACCAAAAGGCCGGTGGTGCAGAAACGTCGCCTTTTTGGCCTTGAGAAGCAAGTTGCCATAGATGAAGAGATACAAAAGCTGCTACAGGCAGGCTTCATCAAGAGAGTGGAATACTCTGAGTGGGTGTCCAACCCTGTGCTTGTAAAAAAACCAAATGGCAAGTGGAGAATGTGTATTGATTTCACCAATTTAAATGAGGCATGTCCAAAAGACCCTCATCCCTTGCCAAATGTTGAGAAGCTAGTAGAGAGGGCAACCGGGCATGAATGGATGAGTTTCCTTGATGCCAGCTCAGGTTATCACCAGGTGCAATTGCTGTTGGACGATCAAGAGAAAATAGCTTTCTACACTGGTGACGCAATCTATTGCTATGTGATGATGCCGTTTGGCCTGAAAAATGCTAACGCTACATATTAGAAGCTGGTGTAAATCATCTTTAAGCTCCAAATCGGCAGAAACATAAAAGTGTATGTGGATGATATGATAGTCACCAATGTATGAGCTGAGGATCATATAGACGACCTGAGTGAGACCTTTCATAACTTGCGCCGAGCCCAAATGAAGCTGAATCCCCTGAAATGCACATTTGTTGTAGAATCAGGAAAATTCTTAGGGTACGTGGTATCCAAGAAAGGAATTGAGGTAAATCGAGAGAAGGTTCAGGCCGTTCAGCAGATGGAGCCGCCCAGGACCGTAAAAGATGTGCAGCGTCTGACGGGTCGTGTTGCTGTGCTGCATAGGTTCATTGCCAGGTCTGCAAAAAGATGTCTCCCCTTCTTTAAAGCCCTGAGAGAGCCCAAGAACTTTCAGTAGATAGATGAATGCCAGCAGGCGTTTAACGAGCTCAAACAATATCTAGCATCATCACCCTTATTGTCCAAGCTTGTGGAGGGAGAGAGTTTATACCTGTATCTAGGGGTTACAGAGGAGGCGGTGAGCTCAGTTCTGCTTAGGGAAGAGAATAAGAATCAAAAGCTTATTTGCTATGTGAGCAAGGTTTTATAAGGCGCCGAGCAAAACTACCCACTAGCAGAAAAGACTGCTTTTGCCTTGGTATATACGGCTCAGAAATTGAGAGCTTACTTTCAGTCACATCAGATTGTTGTTTATACTGATCTGCCGTTGAGAAAGATACTACAGAAGCCGAAACTCTCTGGTCGACTTATCGGGTGGAGTGTCGAGTTGAGTGAGTATGACCTCAAATTTCAGCCACGCACAACCAGAAAGGGCTAGGCTGTGGCAGACTTCCTGGTGGAGTGCATCTCGGCAACTACGGAGGAAAAGGCACCCGAACACCCAGTCTGGGTTTTGTATGTTGACGGAGCTGCTAACATTGAAGGATCGGGTGCTGGGACTGTGTTAGTGGGCCCAGATGGCTTTAAATCCGAGCATGCATTGAGGTTTAAGTTTCAGACAACTAACAATGCTGCAGAATATGAAGCCCTCATTTATGGATTGAAGTTGGCGTCCAAGCTGAAGGTACAGAGTATTTAGGTTTTTAGTGACTCTCAGCTCGTTGTGGGTCAGGTGAATGGTAGTTGTGAAATCAAGGATCCCCAACTTGGTTGTTAGTGGGTCAGGTCAACAGATTGAAGTCAGGATTTATCTCTTTCCAAATCGACAAAATACCAAGAGCAGATAATCACCGAGCTGATGAGCTATCAAAGTTAGCCTCATCGCAGGACCTTAACCCTCAGAGGTCAACAATTGTCGAAGTGCTTGACGCCCCAAGCTACATCGATTTCACAATTGAGTGTCAGCTGCTAAGGATAGATCCCTCCTCTCCGAGCTGGACCACCCCGCTCATTGATTATCTGCAAACGGGCGAGGTGCCTGAAGACCCGTCAGCTACGAAGTTGATTAAACGCAGGGCTGCGCATTTGCTGGACAATCAACTCTACAAACAAGCAGCCTCAATGCCCCTATTACGCTGCCTTACTCCCTATGAAGCTGAATATGCTGTGAGGGAAGTTCATGAAGGAGTATGTGGCACACACATAGGTGGCAGAACTTTAGCTCGAAAACTTCTGAGGCATGGTTACTACTGGCCTACTATGGTTGAGGACGCACAGAGCTATGTCAAAAAGTGCCCAACTTGCCAGTTAAATGCTGATGATATTCACATGCCAGGTATCTGAGCTCGTTCTAAAGTTCGTTCAATCCTCATGTTTGTCTATAAACGGAGCATAAGTATCTTCCTTGAAACAGGAGAAATGCTCTCATCACTCTCATCTCCCTGGCCTTTTGCTCGATGGGGAGTCGACCTGCTCGGACCTTTTGTGAAAGGCAAAGGAGGTTGCACTCACCTCGTTGTCGCAGTGGATTACTTCAACAAATGGATAGAAGCTAAACCTTTGTCCACAACAACAAAAAAGAAAATAGAAAAATTTTTGTTCAATTTAATATTATGCAGGTATTCTTTGATGACTTAAGCCATTGGTATATTTTACACAAATATAATTTGTGGCTTAGTTCGATCGTCTGTGCACAGGTTCGGCATACCTAAACGGATCATCGCGGACAATGGTCCGTAGTTCCGAGTCGTGGCACTGAGGTCGTTCTGTAATGATTATGGCATCGAGCTCGCCTTGACCTCTGTATATACTCCACAGTCAAATGGACAAGCCGAGTTCGCCAATAAAATAGTGTTGCGAGGCCTCAAGACACGTGTATTGGCCGCTCATTCTAATTGGGTAGACAAGCTCAATAAAGTGCTTTGGTCATGTCGCACTACGCCCAGCTTGACAACAGGCGAAACCCCATTCAGCCTTGCCTATGAAGCTGAGGCCGTCATCCTTATTGAGGTCAGATTGCCATCTAAAAGATCAGATCGCTATGACGATCTTAATAATAAGCAACTTTTAAGAGAGAACCTAGACCTTGTAGAAGAGGTTAGGGAGATGTCCCGAATAAAAAGCATAGCATATCAGGGTCGTGTTGCAAAATTTTACAATAAGAGAGTACGAGCTCGTTAGTTCAAGGTTGGCGATATGGTTTTACGCAAAGCTGGATTAACCAATACTTATTCACACATGGGTAAGCTCGCTCCTAATTGGGAAGGTCCCTATATGGTCATTCAAATCAAGCGACCTGGATCTTATGTGTTAGTAGACATACAAGGCCATATATTTGGAATGTACATAATCTTAGAAGATTTTACAGTTAATGTATATGTTATTAACGAATTTGTTCGTGGAAGTGTAAACCGTACATGTAATACAACAAAGAAAAACAGTTTGATATAATCTCCAATTTTGTATTTCTTTTCAAAAAAAATTACAAGTTTTAGTATGAGAGATTGTGATACAATTGTTTGCGAAAAGAAACAAAAAATACAAAAGATCAAAAGGAAAAAATCCTAAATCTAATCATCCGTTAGGTCGACGGGCATAGATGCATCAGCAGCGGTAGGAGGAGAGGAGCGAGCTGGAGGCGAGCGAATGGCGGGCTCGGGAGCTGGTGCAACGATGGGTGACCTGGTCGGCACCATGGCGGGCTGCGAATTGGGCGGGGTGCTTGATGGCTCATGTTCAGCTACAGGAGCCCCTTCAACCCAGGAGTCGAAGGTGGGTAGGCCTGCTGGGTCCTCCCCTTCCTCTAGGATGGAAGGAGGCCAAACAGGTACCCCTTCCTCGTTGAGATCCCATCTCAACCGCACCGTCGCATCAGCAAGGGGAGAAAGGCTATTACCCTGCTCGTCGAGGTCCTCCCCGTTGAAGAACGCCAACTCGCGTATTGGGAAATCCGGACGATGTTGCAGCACCTTCCCCACGGATCTCGTTGTAGATCTCCGTGGTCATGTTTGCAGACGCCACCACCACTGCGTCCTAGAATGCAGCCGAGCCCACGAACCATTCTACCCCTTGAGCTCGGGCGATGCTTACATAGCGCCCATGAGAAGTCTTCAGTTCGTTCAGGGCCTCTTCAGCTGCATTGAGGTTCCTGTCGGCCTCGGCAACTTGGTGACTTAAGGAGCTCAGCTCATTCTGAGCACGATCCTTTTCGGCCTCAGCCTTTTTGGCCCGTTCCTCAACCCAGGTGGCCTCTTCCTTTGTCGCTGGATTCCGCTTTCTCTTTTAGGGCGGGCTCACTCCAGTTCCTCCATGAGCTGATTATTCCTACTAGCGAGCTCGTCTGCTCGGCTCTCCGCTGCAGCAGCTCGATTGGCCATCTCCGAACCTTACAGACGATTGACATCATCCACAGGGCTGGCCTTTTCTGCGGCCAACCATTTACAGTTGGCGCTGAGCTCGTTATTTTGAGAGCGAGCCCCCTGCTTGCTCTCAAACAGCGCCACCGCATAGCTGAACGCTTGCCAAACAGTAACAAGTGTAAGTCTCTAGAATGGAATACTAAAACAGTTATCCAAGTGCAAGTAAATACTTACATCCATCAGCTTGACCATGGCGACCTGCCCGCCATGTTGCTGCACAAAAGTCCTTGCCCGCTGACGATCCATGGGAGGCACAAAGCTTTGCATGCCTTGCACCATGGTGGGCTGGCAGCCGGCTTCACGTAGTTGAAGCCTTCCAGATACGCGATCTTGGGCGCCGACACTGAGGCCGACGTAGATGCAGGCTCCGCTGTGGCTAGCGCCATGGCAGAAGGTGTGTTCGATGAGTGCACAGCCGCCGGTTGAGGCTCCTACGCGGGCTGAGTCCCCCCACTTGTTCTGCGTCGCATGAGGGGGACCTCATCTTCACTGTCCATCTCCTCGCGCGCAGCCGACGCACACTTGGGGCAGCAGTTTCAGCCCGTTGATCGGCGCGAGGCCTAGACGCCGAGCTCGATCCACGGTGTGACGAGCAGCGTGATTGTGGCGTTGGGGGTGGCCACTTGTCAAATCGCGTCTGCCTTTGTTGCGCACTGCCCGCCGCGCGCCTCGGGAACCCTGGGCTCACTAACGTTGGCGTTCAAGTATGCTACTCATTTCTCCTACACAAACAAATATATAAGACTAAGCTTGGCTAGAATTCAGGGTATATAATAAAAGTATACCTTTTGTGAACAGGTTTGCCACGTCGACAAACCCGAACACGGCGAGTTGCTCCGAGGTAACTAGGGCGTCTAGATCTATCAAATTTTCCCTCCTCGCATGTTCCAACAGTTGATTCTTGAGATTAGTGTCCCGTGGCAGCAATTGAGGGTAATTGACGTGTGCATTTGGCACACGCCACTCAGATAGCCGAGCAGCGAGGTCATTGCTTATTCTCTCTGTTCGCGTATCGCGAACAAAGATGAATTGCCTCTTCTACCTCGCCACTTTGTTCTTGACATTCTTGAACAACTGGCTCTTCTCTCTCCCGGAGAGGTAATATCACTTTGCGCCTCTAGAGTTGGGACACAACCGGCATTGGAACAGCGACCTGAACACTATCGCCTTCGCCGGCACCTCCAACCTCGCACACAACAGCATAAAGCCTATGATGAACCTTATACTGTTGGGCGTTAACTACGTCAGAGCCAACTCGTAGTTCGCTAGTAGGTCGAATATCAGCCTAGGCAGGGGAAACTGCAAGCTGGCCTCAAAATGATCCACGTACACTGGTATCTAGCTCGTCTGTGACACTGTGCATGCCATTTCATTCTACGCGTTAGTCCAGAGCAATATCGTCCTAGAGATGTGATACGCCTTCACCATCTCCTCCAGTTTCCTATACCCACTTATTGAGGGCGCATTGTCTGCTACTTCATGATGAAGCGCGACCTTGAATCTAAATCCAGTGGGCAGGTCCTTGGGCACCTTTCGTAGATTGCTCAGCCTGCCCGTGATTGTCCTGCTTTCCCACTCTCCAATCACAGGCAGATCTGAGACATTGCTAACCACATTCCCCGTCCCTTCCTCGCGGCTGGGTGTCTCCTCAGAGGACGAGCTGCTGGATGATGAACTATGGTGGTCGCCACCGTTGTCCCTAGTGCTGCTCTCAGGCGTCATCGTTTCCGGCAAGTCCTGTAATGCCGGCGGTACTATCATCGCGATAGGCTCTACAGATATAACCCCCCCTCTTCTTCCTCTCTACCTTGGTTACCTCGTAGCTCTCTCAGTTCGCTAAACAAGTCCATTTTTACCTTGGATTGTTGTGCACGTTGCTCTGTTCACACTCTGGTGTTACGTTCTTCAGGCTACAAACACATTGCTACAGAGAATTTCAGAAGTTCAAAAACGAGTAAAATGAAAAATGGCATAACCGTTCCCCTTTTCCATCCTTTGAAACAGTAGTGCCAGCGTCAATTGCCGTACGTGTGCCTCTGACGCGCCAGTTAGCGTCCCATATGTGGCAGGCATTTAACCCTCTCTTATATAACGTGCGCCGGCTTTAGCTGTCACGTCCCCTCAAATGTTGAGCCAGCATTTATGGCAGGGAAGGCAGAGAGATACGGGGAGATCAATCGTATCTCCTCAGAGATCTGATTGACTCAAAAAATCCCTAAGATTCAGATCGTAGCAAGTTGATATGTTCCCTGTCCCATTCATACTAGCTCGTCAAGACGACCACATTTATCAGATCGGTAGAAGAATGACAGCTTGTCCAAAATCACAGACCGTTAAAGGTTCGAGATCGCTCCACTCAGCTTCGGCCCCATGTCCGTTCAGCAATCCCAAATTGTTCTGTGGTTGAGGTCGTTTCATCCCAAATCGTCCTTATGTTTGAGGGACAACATTACTTGTTCACTTCAAAACCTTCGACAGTGTCCAGGATTCAGGTCGTCACACATCTGCTCGGTTAACCTAAACAAGCTTGCTGAAATAGTGAGTAACACTTTAAATGTGAGTGCATGATTATCCACCAAGCGGGCTTACCTTTTGTGAGTCACGTCAGCTTGCAGATATATCGAGCCCACGCTGGTAAGGTTACGGATATCAGCTCGCCTGTACACTTTCAGGCTCGCGAGCTTGCCTCATTTAGTGCCACCCTTCAGCTCGACCGTCAACGAGGTCGGCCGCGAGCTGTTAAGGCTGTCCATTATAGTCACCAGCTTGAGCGTTGGCCCACGGGCACATCCAACCCAGTTCGTCAACTGAACACCGGGGGGGGGGGGAGTAATGTTGGAATAGGCCTAACATCCGCCCAACATCCAAACAAGGCTGTGCATAATGGGCCTAGGCTGCCGCCCACTAGCCCAAGTTGAGGGAGTACCAGTGCAAGCATACCCATGTGACTAGTGCCACGTGGACCAATGAGATGCTTACATGTACAGATGCGTGTCAGCACCAGGGGGCTATAAATACCCCCCAACTACCTCCGATGAAGTTAATTAATCTCTACGCTTCTCTTTCTGTAATTATTTCTTGAGAGCATTTCTCTCTAGAATATCGAGTATTGCTGAGTTTTTCCCGAGGAAATATTCTCAGGATTTTCAAGTGTAAAAGCAGCTAAAGACTTCAACAGTGTTGGACTACAAAGCTGCCCAAACACTAATAAAATAATTAAAATAAAGCTAAAAAAAACTAAAATAATACTCCAATCCCACACCATTCTTTTTTGATTTTTTTTTTCTATTATTATTATTATTATCATAATCATCATCATCTCATCATCATCATCATCATAATAAGAAATGACTTTTTTTTCTCCAACATTTTTTTATGAGGTAAATCCAACATTTTAAAACATTAGTCTGAAATAAAAAATATAAAAACATTATT